AAGCCAAAACCAAAGCTCTCTCCTTTGGCTGGTTAGCTCACTAGAGCGCTCAATGAATTGGGAAATGGAGTCAGGATGACAGATGAGTGCCTCAGTCTTTGGGATCCATAGGACAGTACAAATATCGTTAGGCAAATCAGATAGTTGTGGGATATGTTGATCACTACTTCCTTTCTTGGTTTAACCCCCAAAGGGTGGTGATGTGATCAAAATGGTAGGTGGGGACCATAAGGCTGTAAAGTAGAAGAAATAGGCATTGTGTTTCATGAAATTATATTTTCATGGAAACTCTGACCCAGATTACACTGCTGATAATAACTCATCTTTACATCACACTACAATATTCATATATTGTCTCATTTGGTCTTCATGAAAATGAAAAGCTCACTAAGTGGGAAGGGCAGGTCTTTCTTCTTCTAAAGATGAAGAAATTGAGGCTTTGAGAGTCTCAGCTATTTTTTTAAGGTTTAACAGTAAAAGATGGAGCTGGGATTGGACCCCTAGGTCTTTGGATCCCTAGCTTGGTCTTCCTGGTTTCAAGATACATTCTTCCCTCTTCTCCTAGCTATGCTGTCCCCCACAAAGTTCTAAGAATAAACCTCAGCATAGAAACCACAATAGATCAATACTCTCTTCTCAGGTGCTCTTTATTGCTAATATGCAGTTTTACTATGATATCGATCTCTTTTAAAATTTTGTGTAAAGCTATTTAATATAGAGGCTAATGATATTAAACAGTTGAACTAACTGGGAATTGCTTTTACAGGTCTCCAGTAGCATGATTAGAGGAGCTATGATGATTTTCAGCAGAATTCAGTTCAAAACATTTGGGACCAGATCTCACTTAAATGGAAGTGTAGTTCTCCATAGAAGTATGGTGGGGATGTGGGACACAGCTCCAAGCCTGCACAAAATCGAGCTCCCAGCATTATTCAGCTCTCTGCAATGCTAGCTACCTCCACTGGCCAAATCACGGCTGCTGCTCATACAACCTTGTAAGGGCAGTTTTTTCTATTGGTGGAGGAAGGGAGACTAGTAGTGGAGAAATAATCCAGAAGCCCAAAGAGGTTTTTAAAATCTCCTAAGCATGAATTAAAGCAACTGGAACCTGAGGCTCCTGGCTGAGCTTCCTGGTTAGGGTTAATAGCCACTCCATGGAAGCCAACCTCCCATCCTTTTAGGTTTAAGTTAAGAGTTGAATAAGAATGGAAATAAACAAATAAACAAACAAAACCCAAAGTTACAAGGTTCAATAAGGATCCAGCTACATTCACTGTGATGTCTCCACACTCTCCCGCCCCAAACAGTTGCCTTTTAAAATATGGGCAGGAATTGAGCTGTATATTTCAAAACTCCTCTCAGACATGTTCAGAAAACCACTGAGGCTTTGCTTTCAAATGCTCACTGTGTGAGCTATGAAAGTGAAAACTGGCAAATGCTACCCCTGAGACTTCAGGAAGTCCAGAACACAGTTTTGTTTATGTTTTTCAGGGTAAATGAAAACAAACCAAATATTAATTGTGGCAAAGAATAGTCTCTGGGAGTTGATGCAAGTGTCAGGATCTCATTGACTAAAGTAGCATACCATTTCCATAAAACTTAAATTAAACGGAAGTGGGATCTACGAGAGTGTGTGTGAGAGTATGTGTGTGTGTGTCAGTGTGAGTGTGTGTGTGTGTGTACATTCGTGTGTGTTACCTCACGGGTGCTAATCTTTTTAGCTGAGACAGGCTAGCTTCTTTGATGGAGACAGAAGGTAGGTGGGGTCAGACTATTTGAGAGAAGGGGCAGGATTGGAAAATGGATAGCCTGATAAACCTAACCCAAGAGCTTCCTGAGGCATCTCCTGTCCCAACCAGGGTTATGTCACAAAATCAGACTTTTATTTATTCTCCTCAAGGAAATCAAGAAAAGTAGTTACTTCATTCTAAAAATAAAATCTAAAGATCCTTTCTCTCCTCCCCCCTATATAGTGAAAGGAGATTTATATTGTGATAGAAACTACTGGCTCAGCCCTAAGCTTTGCCTCATTGTGTTAAAGCCTGGGAAACTGCTCGAAATCAGCAACTATTTCTTTTGATCCAAACGAGTGAAATTTTAAAAGGCTTAGAAATATGGAAAGGGGGAAGTCACTCTCTACAAGTTATTACTATTTCAATTAATTATCAATAACAAATATGAAATTAAAAATGATCTGGTATCTCTACAGTATTATTCTATTTCACGACCAGTGAAATTCCACTTTAATCAAGTCTTTTGCAAATCATCTCACTTTCTGCCTTAGCCCAACTGTACGGACATTTAGCCATTTTACAGTCATTCTCTTTAAGGGCAGGAGGACCAATCCTGTAAGTACCTGATGGACATTTCCCTTCCAAGTTTCTCTCAATGTCACTATCCATATCTCAGAATTCTTTGGGTCCAGGAGATGGTCATAATAAAGATCTAGTAAGGTAGCAAACATCATCACAACTTCCAGACACCTGAATTAGACTCTCAGTGGACACATCTACTTTGCACTAGTTATAAAGGGTTCGAGCAACTTACAACTTTTTAAAAAGCTGAGCATGAGTGGTTGGGTTTTAAAAGTCTTCCCTTACCTCTGGAGAATTAGGAGCTTACAGAAAATAATGGAGATGCTGTCCTCCCTCGCCTTGAGGCAGTTCTAGGAAGCCAGGGATAATGCTGTTGTTTTGTAAAACTGAGTTCATGAAATTTCTGTGGTGACAGGAAGAAATCTAGATGTAGCAGAGGTAAGGGGATTAAGAAAGTATGAGCTAACAGTCCTTGAAACTTAGCTGAAACTCACCTCCTGGCCCTCTCCACTTTTATTAGGGTGCTTTGAGGAAGGATTGTTTCATTCTTTGTACTTGTATCCCCAGAGCCTAGTCTGGTACCTAACTCTGGCTTAATAACTACTTGTTGATTGATTGATTCAGTCATATCCCAGAGATGGAAGCTGATGCACCATGGTAGTGTGGTAACCAAGCTCCTCCCCCATCGAACTCAAGAAGGTATTATTTATTGGAATAGGACTCCATGCATGTTTTTTGCCCCCCTGTTTGAACTCTTTATCAAATAATTGAAACCTACCCACAGCACCAGGAAAGACACAGAGAGAAATGGAAAGAGAAGAAAGTGGGGTGAGAATATATTGTGGATTTGGGAAGGGGTGAATAAAAAGAGCCTTTAGGGAATAAGGAAAATTTATGTCACTTTCAAAGATTAGATTTTTTAAAGCTTTAAGTGTAATTGACAAGTAACAAAATTACTCTAAAGAATATAACAGAAAACACTGC